ACTTGTGCCAGAATCCAACATCGGAATCAGGTAATGAAGACAGAAAGGCCTTACAGGAGGGGAAAATTGGAACCAGTAATTGAAAGCTTTCAAGCATGCTCAGTAATCTAATCATAGGGGTCTAGTAGGAGTCTGTACTGTCATATTAGATTTCCTACTCTGGATTCCTCTGGATTAGGGTAGGGGTGGTGAGGAAAAGCTTAAAATGCTGAGCTTTAGATGGCATAGATAATTACATAGTAATCACTGATGTATAGAATATTTGAATCACTGTATTGTACACCTGAAACTAATATGACACTGTATGTCAACTATACTGGAATTAAAATTAAATGAAAAAAATCACTAGAGAAGTACATTTTTTTAATTTTTTCAAACATTATATTTGAAAGAGAGAGAGTAACCACGAGTGGTTGGGGGGGGGGGAAGCAGGCTGATCCCAGGGCCCCAAGATCATAATCTGAGCTGAAGGCAGGCCCTTAACCAACTGAGCCACCCAGGCACCCCAAGGAGAGATAAAATTTAAGAGAGCTCACTGATTTCACAGTAATAACCAAACATCAGATTATCAAAACTGTTTTCTCAGTATTTCTTCATATTCCTCCTGTCTTCTTAGGTTCTCTGTGTCACCTATCTCCTGGTTCCATATTTTTTACTTCTCATTGCGTACATATCTTTTTTTTGTACGTATGTTTTTTGAAAATGGATTTATCTTGTGCTTTTCCATCTTCGTACAGTCTGTAAACGACTGTGCTTAGCCTCCCTCTTCGCATTTCTCTCACCCTCCCTCACATGGTTCACCTTGAATCCATCAGGACCCTAAATCATCTGGCTTCAGTTACTGCCTGGTTTTGAAGAAGTACCCATAAAAAATCTCAGGTTTTACAGAAGAGAGTGGCATCATGTGGCAAAGACTATACCCACAGGATTAAGTATGCAAGTGATTTGGGGTGTTGCTCTTCCTTGGAAGCCAAATAATGACAGAACCTAGGTTTATGGATGACTGTGAACAGTGCCATCTTTGCTGATAGTCAGTTGCTATTTACCAGTTCCTACACACATTTACCTAGAGAAAATTTAATGATAAAGTTCTTCAAAATGAAAGAACACACAAAATAATATCAGGAGGTTTGAAATGAATTGTTTCATTCAAGAAAATGTTCTAGGGCACTGTATTATAAATGCAAATAAACTAGACATATAAAGTGAGAAAAATTCAAATATAATGTAAATTGGGCTAATCTAACTATGAAACCTTTTCTTTAATGGTTTTAACTATAAGTCAGTATGAAAAACTAGTTCAGGGACGCCTGGGTGAGCGTTGATTGTGCCTGCCTTTTGCCAAGGATGTGATCCTGGAGTTCTGGGATCGAGTCCCACATTGGGCTGTCTGCATGGAGCCTGCTTCTCTCTCTGCCTATGCCTCTGCCTCTCTCTGTGTCTCTCATGAATAAATAAATAAAATCTTTAAAAAACAGAAAAAAAGAAAAACTAGTTTCAAGTTTGAGTTTTTGAATTGTGGGTTTAAATAAAAAAAAGATCTTGAAACTATAAAAAGCACTTAGTTTAGAGAGACTAGAAGATTCAAATACTTTTGAATCCAGGTGATTGGATCGCTCCATTTTGTAACATTAAACATTTTACTTTAATATGGAATTCAGCATTGGGGGAAATCATGATTTACGGAAAAACAGTTTTTATGCGGAAAGAAAAAGCCCAAAACAAGCATTAAAAAAAAAAAAAAAACTATTACAAATGTAAAACAAAAGAAAAATAGATTTGTACTTATTGGTAGTGTAATGTACTAGATATATGTAAAATAAACCACTAATTTTATTTTTGAATATATGATTTAATTTAGGAGGAGAATTGAATCTTGGTGAATTCATGAAAGTATTCAATCCCTCTATTTTTGAGGGGGTCTTTTTTAGTTTCAGCAATATTATAAAGAAAATTTTGTTTATTTTGAAAGAGAGGGTGCAAGTGGGGGGAGGGGCAGAGGGAGAAGGAGGAGGCTGACTCCCGCTGAGGCTATACAGGGAGCCCCATGTAAGGGCTTGATCTCAGGACCCTCAAATCAAGACCTGAGTCAGAACCAAGGGTCAGGCACTTAATTGCCTGAGCCACCTAGGTGCCCCAGCAATGTTAGAAAATTTAAGTGTATAGGTCTTGTATATCTTTTGTTAAATTAATTCCTAAGTATTCTATGTTTTTTGATATATTACAAATTTGATTTGCATTTTATTTTCCATTTATGATTGTATAGAATGAATAGAATTTGTAGACTCACCTTATATCCTATAACTTTGCCAAGTTACATATTAATCCTATTAATCATTTTTCAGATTCCTTAGAATTATGTACCTAAAAATGATTTTAAGTGAACAAAGACAATTTTAGTTCTTCTTCTCTGAATTTCCTTTTATTTCTCTTACAGCGCTGACTAGGACCTTCAGTACATCCATTATAATAATGAACTGGCTATGGGGTGCCTGACTGGCTCTCTCAGTTGAGCGTGCAACTCTTGATATTGGGGTTGTGGGTTTGGGCCCCACATTGGCCGTAGAGATTACTTAAAAATAAAATTTAAAAAAATAATGAAGTAGCTAGAGTGAACATTCTTGCCTTATTCCTAATATTAGAAACTCCCAATATTTCACCATTATATAAAAACTAGATGTAGATTTTTCATTCATCCTCTTGATTATCATATTAAAGTAGTTACCTTGGGCAGCCCTGGTGTCTCAGTGGTTTAGCACCGCCTTCAGCCCAGGGCCTGATCCTGGAGACCCCGGATCGAGTCCCACGTCAGGCTCCCTGCATGGAGCCTGCTTCTCCCTCTGCCTGTGTCTCTGCCTCTCTCTTTCTCTCTGTGTCTCTCATGAAATAACAAATAAAATCTTAAAAAATAATAAATTCTTTAATTCCTAGCTTGCTGAGAATTTTATCATGAATAGGTACTGATTTTTGTCAGATTTTTTTCTGTATCTGTTGAAATGTTTATATCTTTTCATTCTGTTAACATGGTAAATTACATTAACTGATATTTGAATTTTAAACCAAACTTATATTTCTTGGATAAACCACAATGATCAAGGTATGTTATCCTTCTTATATATTGCTGGGTTCAATTTATTATTTTGCGTCTGTATTCATGAGGCTGATTTTCTTTTCTAGTAATATCTTTGTCAAGTTTTGGCGTTAGGGATTTGCTTATTTAATAAAACAAGTTGGAGAGTATCTCTTTTCTGTTTTCTAGAAAGTATGTAAGATTCTTATTATTACTTCGTTAAATGTTTGAGAGAGCCCACCAGTGAAGCCATCTGGGGCTAGAGTTTTGTTTTTGTGGTATTTTGTATTTTGTTTTTGTTATAATTATGAAATAGTTTCTTTAATAGATAGCATTCCATTTATTTCCGTAGTAATTTTGGTAATTTTAAGGGATTTTTCATTTTATCTCAGTTACTGGATTGATTTGCATTATATAGTTTAAAACATTATATTTGTAGTATCAGAAGTGATATTTCTCCTATATTGATAATTTGTGTTGCCTTTTGGTTTTCTTGAACAGTCTTGCCAGAGTATTAATGATTGTTTTAATCTTTTAAACTGTTGGTTTTAATTTGTTTGAATTGTCTTGAGTTTGGATTGAATATTATTTTGACTTCACCAACTTCTTTTTGTGCCATCTTACATCTCTTATTAGCTAATAATAGTAGATTCAGCCTATTCAGTGAATTTGACAATTTTTATACTGAACTATCTAACTCTTGAATTTTCATTTATTTCTTTTTTTTCCCATTTACTGCCAGTATTTCTCATCTGCTCACTCATCAAAATATCTTGAACATGCTTGTATTAACTGTTTTAATATCCTTGTCAGTTAATTCAAACATCTAGATCATCTTGTAATAGGATTTTTCTCCTGATCTTGAGTTAAAAATTTTAACTTCTTAGCATGTTTAGAAATTTTTTATTGCGTCCTAGATTTTGTTGATGATATTTTAGATTTTTTTTTTAGAAATTGTGTTGGTTTTTAAATTTTTTTTTAAATTTTTATTTATTTATGATAGTCACAGAGAGAGAGAGAGAAAGAGGCAGAGACACAGGCAGAGGGAGAAGCAGGCTCCATTCACCGGGAGCCTGACGTGGGATTCGATCCCCAGTCTCCAGGATCGCGCCCTGGGCCAAAGGCAGGCGCCAAACCGCTGCGCCACCCAGGGATCCCTGGTTTTTGTTCTAAATTACTGGGTAGTAAATACACACCCATACCATCCAGCAATTGCATTTCTGGGTGTTTATTTTAGAGAAATGAAAACTTATGTTCACATAGAAACCTGTACATAATTATTTATAGCAGCTTTGTTCCCATACTGTTTAATTCATTTTTTTTAAGATTCTCAAAGTGACAAAATTATAGAAATAAAGGACAGATAAGTGGTTGCCAGGAATTAAGGAAAGGACAGGAGGGTGTGATTATAAACAGCTAAGGGAATCTAAGTGGGGGTATAGTATATGGATCTTTACATGTACTAAAATGCCATAGAGTTATAAACAAAGATATATACCTAGTATCTATATGTAAAATGAGTGAATGAAAAAAACTGGCAAAACCCAAGTAAGATCTGTAGTCTAGATATTTGTATTGTGCCGGTCAGTTTCTCAGTTTATGATAATATACTACAGTTATATAGGATGTCACTTTGGGGGTAGGTGAGTAGTATGTACCTAGATCTCTCTGTACCACTAATACAACTTCTGGTGAAGGTAAGAGGCCATCTATATGTATCTAATACATATCCATATGTACCTAATCACCGGAAAGGATGTCTGCTGTAAAATCATATCTTCATCCATTGTCTTTTGGAAGTATTTTTCCGGATCACCTTACAAGTTGGATTTTCTTTCTTTATGCACATTTCTGACCTTTGTCATTTCTTAGAAAATAATATGTCAATCTAACTTCCTTTCTGCTTTTATTTTTTTTCTTCTCCTTTTAGTTGTTTGCATAATTGGCCTTAAATGAGGTGAGAGTGAAGAAAACTAGAGCCATCTCTGGAAACCTCACTACCCCACTACCCTGGAAGCTACCTTCTGGAATATTAGACTTGACCATATCTGTTTTGAGGACTCATTATGAACAAAGAAGTCTCCCAGGTGGGAATTGTACTTCTTCTTTTAAAAGAGCTTTGTCTCTACAAAAAGTATGGAGGGAAAAATGATTACCTGTTGACTCTTTTTGTTAATGGAAATATGTATTTGATTTGAGAGCTTCAAGGTTATTATAAAACATGTGCTGATATTCCTAAAGGAAAATATTAGAGAAGTTCTAGATTACATTTTATGAATCACTTTAATGCACATTTAAATGAATATAGGATTCATATCTATATTTTACAATGTGACCATTATTGAATTAAAAATGGCAAGTGGGTAAGTCATCCTTAGATTTGGTCTATATATTTCTAACTTGTATGCAGTCATTAAATCTATATTTGGTGCCCATTTTTTACATTTGGGCATTTTTACATAGTTGTTTTCTAAGAGTTTGTGAGCTGAGGGAAGAATACTTGTGTATCCATGAACATGACAATGATCATAGCAGCCTATAGTTAGAAAGATAAACATGCATCAAGCCAAGACAGTAGGTAAAAAGCTGAAGGTTAATCAGAAACTGATTAATCAGTAAGTGGAAGACTTCCAGTGAGAGGTTTTTTAAATTAAAATATTTTTAATTGAATTATGACATTATACAGATAAAAGTTACAAGTTTTAAATATAGAACTCTTGAATTATCACATGCAAACAAATTTGTTAAACGTTAAGAAGTAAAACAATATCAGCACCCCCAGAAACTCCCCTCATCCCTGCCTCAGCTCTATACCACCTACTCACTTTAAAGGAGAAAGTTGTCACCATGGAGAGTGATAGCCACCAACTTGAATAGTGGGGTGTAACAATCTTAGAAGTCAGAGACAGTTAAATTTAGTTGGCTGACAAGCAATACCAATGTTTGGAATAAACAATGAACTTGGGAGATGAAGGCAAGACTATTTTTTTGGCAGAGAGCTTTAAAGCAGGGACTGGATGTGCAAAATGATTTGAGAAAATACTCATTTGATCCTGCTACTTCTCACTCTAAAATCTCATTGGTTTCTAGAACACACTCCAGATTTCTGGCTTTTATGAACTGATGATACCTTGTATTTATTAATTTATGTTTTCTGTTATTTGAAATCAGATTGTTGATTCTCAATAAAGAGAGAGAAATAATAAAGCATTTTGATTATTAAGCCGTTTTGCAGAGTAGGCTGTATTATATAAGTAAGATAAATTTTAATCATATAGGAGACCCCTCTCTTTAATAGTTTTCAGGAAGGGAATGTTAGTACCTTGACTTCATGAAAGAGAAAGGGAGAGAAAACAGAATGATATAATGATTGATCTCTGGTATCGGTGTCTTTTTCCATACTCATTGTTCATTGAGTGACTCTCAGAAAGTCTCTTTTCTTCATATCACAATGAAAACTTCTATATTTTCTATTTCCCTTTAACATTTATCAAAAACAATTTTAAACTTGCCATATAGTTGCAAGATTGGTATCCTCTGTATGCCTCCTACCACTTTCACCAGTTCTAAACATTTTGTTACATTTTCTTTATCTCTCTGTATATTTACTATTGTTTCTGCTCCTCCTCTTCCACCACCGCCATTATGATGATGATGAATCATTTGAGACCTATAGACATTTGTGATCTTCTACTCCTAAATATTCAGTATGTTCTCCTACTTAACCACAATATAATAATGAAATTCAGGAAGCATTTTCATTATTGTTATTATTTCATTTATAGTTCATATTAGAATTTTATCAGTCGTCTGATCCAGAATCACACATTGTGCAGTTGTGACTGCTCTTTGGTTTCTTAACCTAGAATTATTTATCAGCTTTTCTTTGTCTTCCATAAAATTGACATTTTGGAAGAGAACAGACCAGCTGTTTTGTATAGTAGCACTCATTTTGAGCTCAATATCTGTTTCTATCTGTGTTTCTTTCTGAAGAGACTATATGATGTGTGAGACTTTGGAGATTCATAGATTTCTTAACTGAGAACCTTATCTGGTAGAACAAAACCTATAAAGATTTTTTTCAGGAGAAAGTCTGTTAAAACATGGTAGGGGCCCCAAAATCCAAAAGATAGATTCCTAAAGATGATTTGGACAGTATTGAAAAGAATTTTATATGTGTGTGTATGTATACATATAATCTTAAAATCCAGCAAGATTTATTAGCTTTTGGACAAAAAATAGGATTTGTAATGGCACAATTTTTTTATCGTAGAGAAATAGCACATTTCATTTTAAAGTGAATCACATCTTATAGGAAATAATTGTTTTATAATGGTGAGAGAAGTCAGGATTAGACATAGGATCAATTTTATTTATTTCTGTATGATGTTTGGTCTAAGAATTGAGAAGTCTCTCTCTTCTTATGTTTGAGATTCTTATAAATACCACCCAGGATTTCTAGAGGTGGCATAATTTAATGTCAGCTCTTCTGGGAAAACTAATGAAGAAGCATTTTAGTGTGGAAGCAAAAGTTGAGAATATATCTTTGGCTTTTCTACTTATCAGTTATGTGCCTGTAGCTTAGTTATATAAGTTGAAATAAAGCATAGCCAGAATCTGGAATCAAACTGCCTAAGAATGATTTTTATCCCTGCCACTTGACAATGTTGAGCTGATTAAAAAATGTTTCTGTGCCTTGGTTTCCTCATTTCTAAAATGGATTATAGTATTACCTATCGTATTTTATGAGTGAATGAATTAGTAAGGTTTTATAAGTAAATTAGATGCTTAGAACAATGATTGGCATATAGTAAATGCTCTGTAAGTGTTGGTCATCATCATCATCATCATCATCATCATCATCATTGTCAGACAGTAGTTTATCAGTAAGATAAAGCTGTTGAACTCAGTGATTCTGTAAGTAGAAATAATAATACATACTTCATAGAGCATTTGTGAGGAAAAAATGAGTTATACATATAAAATGCATAAACACTGTATTATTACATTGTCATATCCTCTAAATGGATATTAGTAGGCCTCCTTTTTTGTGAACCTTTTTATTATTTTGTTCCTCTCAAATACTTTGTTGCTGACTTTATACTATGCAAATGGAAACAGGTAAGATAGGCATTTTGTATGTTCTTTCTTATTTGTTTTTTTTAAGATTTTATTTATTTATTCATGAGAGACACACAGAGAGAGAGAGAAGCAGAGAGAGACAGGCAGAGGGAGAAGCAGACTCCTTGTGGGAAGCCCAATGCAGGACTCAATCCCAGGATCCCGGGATCATGCCCTGAGCCGAAGGCAGACATTCAACCACTGAGCCACATAGGCGTCTCCATTTTGTATATTCTTAAGTGCCTATAATAAAAAAATTTGAGAAGCAGTGCACTAGATGACAATTGATAGAGTCTCTCTGATTCTGAACGTTTGCATTATTTTCCATTGATCCTGAAATATAAGTATTATTTCCAAAGTTGTTATTCTGTCAAGAACACTGGAAAGTGAAATTTGAATTTCACTTGTTTATAGTTAGTCTTTCTTTGGGCATTGCACTGGAAGGGGTATGACTAGCTCAATTAGTATGATCATTGAGGAAATATTAATGCTATTTAACCAGCTATTCCCCTGAAATGCTTGGGGATTTATTTTTCATTTCCCAATGGGTATTAATAAGGTTTTGTGAAATATAAATGAATCAAGTGAGATAACTTAAATTTCAAGCTAGGCTTAAAAAATATATATTCTTCTATAAATTTAAGCAATGAAGATTTTATGTACATTTATATTGTGATTTTATTCATGCCCCTTCTGCAGTTGGGGGGATGGCCCTGAAATTAACTGGAGGTTTACCTGACTTGATCATTTTCTAGTGCCCTCAAAATATAATTCCATTGTTTTGGCAAATAATTAGTATGTAGCTCTATTACTTTGGTACTTCTGCTACCTTATAACTTTAAGGATCAAATTTTAGTATATTTATTTTTCTTTTATTGGTCTATATATGTACATTTAAACATACTGTATTCCAAAATGAGTTTCTAAAATATTTGAGGGAAATTGAACAGCTTCTGATCAGAGGCTTAACTCTTATTTTAGATTTTGGAATAATTTTTTTAAATATTTATTTATTTTAGAGAGAGAGCACATGTGTGAGCAGGGACAAGAGGGGGAGGGAGAGAGAGGATATCTGTGTCTAATGCTGATCGTTATTCTCTTCTGGCCGCAACTTTTAGCTGATTTTCTGCTCATTAATATTTGAATCTGAAAGAGGGTGAAATTGATGGGAAGAGAGAGACAGTGAAATTTGTATTGCTTAGTTTTGTCTTTCTGATCACCATTTTCTTTTTTTAAGGCTGTTACTTCTTTACTAAACTATTAAAAACTTTACTCTGCAAGTAAATAAACTTATTTTTTTGTTTACACAGCTAAAAAGAGCTGTGGTCAGGAAGACTAATTTTAATTTCTTTTATTTATTTATTTTTTAAAGAAATACCAACATATTTTCCACAGTTAGAAAGATATGGAACTGATTTTTGGAAGACATGATATATTGTATATACAATTACCCAATGTTGTAGAATAACTGGAATCATCTAGTTTAATGCATTTCTAAGGAAATGTTGAGGGTGTTTCTGCCCAGTTGTCTTAATAAGATAGTTGCCACAAATATATATTTCATATGCTGACTATCTTTCCTCAGGCACAGATACAACAGGATATTTTAACAAGGTGAATGCGTGTTTATTTTTTATTTCAAAAAATTAAATTTTAAAGTCAATGTGAGGAATTTAAAATATTGGGTTTTAAAAGTAATTTGATTTTTCTTTTTCCTGTATTTATGTTAATAGAAAACAAAAAATAAACTTTTATGGCTCTTCAAAACTTAATCTTTCCTCTTTCCATTTAGAAACTATAATGCAAAGAAAGCATTTTTCTTAATCTCTAAAATAAGCTTTTAGTGGTAAATATGAATTTATTAAATCGTTTTTCAAAAACTACATATTTTTAGAATTTAAGTTACCAAGTCCTTGATAATGCATTTATTATTAACATAATATATGTAAGATTTTGCACAGAATTT